TACAGCTTAAAATTACATTTAGTTCTATCTACTTATCTTTCTATCTACATTTAGTTCTATCTATCTATCTATCTATCTATCTATCTATCTATCTATCTATCTATCTATCTATCTATCTATCTAGCGAGAGCGAGCGAGCGAGCGAGCGAGCGAGCCAGCGAGCGAGCAGCGAGCGAGCGAGCGAGCAGCGAGCGAGCGAGCGAGCGAGCGAGCGAGCGAGCGAGCGAGCGAGCGAGCGAGCGAGCGAGCGAGCGAGAGAGCGAGCGCGCGAGCGAGCGAGAGGAGCGAGAGCGCGAGCGAGCGAGCGAGCGAGCGAGCGAGCGAGCGAGCGAGCGAGCGAGCGAGAGAGGGAGCGAGCGAGAGAGGGAGCGAGCGAGCGAGCGAGAGCGAGCGAGGAGCGAGAGAGCGAGCGAGCGAGCGAGCGAGCGAGCGAGCGAGCGAGCCAGAGAGGGAGCGAGCGAGCGAGCGAGCGAGCGAGCGAGCGAGCGAGCGAGCGAGCGAGAGCGAGCGAGCGAGCGAGCGAGCGAGCGAGAGCGAGCGAGCGAGCAGCGAGCGAGCGAGCGAGCCAGCAGCGAGCGAGCGAGCGAGCGAGCGAGCGAGCTAGCGAGCGAGCGAGCGAGCCTATCTATCTATCTATCTATCTATCTATCTATCTATCTATCTATCTATTTATCTATCTATTTATCTATCTATCTATCTATCTATCTATCTATCTATCTATCTATCTATCTATCTATCTACCTATCTATCTATCTATCTATCTATCTATCTATCTATCCTTTCGAACCAATTACTTTATTAATATTTCTTTTAATTTGAAATAATTCATTGTAATTTATCTTCATCATTCTTTTTTTAATTACAGGCCCATTACCAAAGACATCCCAAGATTTTTGGCGTATGATCTGGGAACAACATTGTTTAGTTATAGTTATGACAACACGCGTTATGGAACGTGGACGCGTAAAATGCGGTCAATATTGGGAACCACAAGAAAATAGTTCCTTAGAATTTGGTAACTTTCACGTGCGAACACTTAGTATAGAAACTAATGAAGATTATACAGTAGCCTCATTAGAATTGAGAAATACAAAGGTGAGTGAGTTCTTCTGCTACAACAGCAAAATACAACAGAATAAAATTAATTTTCTTCGCATTTTTTCATTTTCCACCCAGACTGATGAAGTAAGAAATGTGTCACATTGGCAATTTACCAGTTGGCCGGATTATGGTGTACCCAGTTCAGCCATGGCCATGATAACCTTCCTGCAAAAGGTTCGCGAGAAACAATTACAAATGGTACAAGCGTTAGGTGATACATGGGCCGGTCATCCAAGAGGGCCACCAATTGTGGTGCATTGTAGTGCGGGTATTGGAAGAACAGGTAAAGATTTTCTACAACTTTCGAAGAAAATTATAGTAAAAAAATGAATCCCTGAAACTGAGGAAACTATAAAGCAATTAACGTTAAATAATCAGTTATCAGTGGCATAATTTGTTTTATTTAGACTGTTTTCTATAGAAAAATGCCTTCTTTAGAATTTTTTTATAGGATAGAGTCTTCTTTAGACAGTTTTCTATAGAAAAGTGTCTTCTCTAAACAGTTTCCTATAGAAATGTGTCTTCTTTAGAAAAAAATTTTTTTTAGACAGTTTTCTTTACGAAAGTGTATTTTGACAGTTTTTGTTTATACAAAACAGTCTACTTTAGACAATTTACTATACAAAACTGTCTTTTTAGACAGTTTTTATTCAATTAAATTCTTTAGACAGTTTTCTATTCAAAAGTTTTCTATTCAATTCAATTCTTTAGACAGTTTTCTATTCAAAAGTGTCGTCTTTAGTCTGTTTTTCATACAAAAGTGTCTTATTTAGACGGTTTTTATAAAAAGTGTCTTCTTTAGACAGTTTTCTATAGAAAAGTGTCTTATTTACACAGTTTTCTATTAAAAAATGTGTTATTTATAAAGTTTTATACTAAAAGTGTCTTCTTTAAAGAGTTTTCTATTGAAACATTTTGTATTTAGGAAGTTTAAAATAGAATAGAGACTTCTGAAACCCGATTATAAAAGTGTCTTCTTTAAATAGCTTTCTATACAAAAACGTCTAATTTAGACAGTTTTCTGTAGAAAAATGTCTTCATTAAACTGTTTTCTATAGAGGTTTCCATACTTTAGATAAAGTTTCTATTAAATTTTCGTATCTATTACAGGCACATTTATTACTTTGGACATTTGCATATCTCGCCTGGAAGATGTTGGTACAGCCGATATACGTGGCACCGTTGAAAGAATACGTTCACAACGTGCATACTCAATACAAATGCCCGACCAATATGTATTCTGCCATTTGGCCTTGATTGAATATGCGATATCTCGGGGTATGTTAAAAGCGGTCGATCTAACGGGTTTCGATGACCGAGAAGATGAATCCGATTAAGTTCTAAAATACTATATAAAATACAACTATAACAAAAACAAGTCAGTCAGTTCTACTATCTAAATATGAAAAATAAAAAGAAAAACAACAAATATTAAAATAAAACAAAAAAAAAAAGAAGCCAACACTACCAACACCACCAATTCTTTATAAATATTGACAATTTCTTAAAAGAAACTTTAATTTTAAATAAGAAATAGCTTAACAAAACAAAAGGAAGATAAATATATTATTTTTGTTGTTTATTTATAAATTTTAATTGTAATTAAAACAAAAAAATAAAATTCATTACTAAAGCCGTTGGATATTTCAATGCAGTTTTCAAAAGCCAACAAATCTCTTTTTAATTATTTATTAAACAAACATAGAAAAACTAACAGCATCAACCGTTTTTTTATATATAGAAAATAGAACAGAGTAAATTTGTAATTGTGAACTTAATTAAAAGAAAAATACAAGTAAAAAAAAAACAAAAAAGTTTAAAACATTTATATAAATTTATATATAGTATATATCTATCTATTTATACATAGTAAATCATATATAAAAAAGTCGTCGTGTAGTTTTTTTATTTTAGATGTTTGATTTGATTAAAAGAAATTTAAAGAAAATATTAAACAAAATTATGTTAGTTTATGTTTGTTTTTAATTAATTTTATTTTATTTTTTAATTATTAAAAAAACATTATATATAAACTATACATAACAAAAAAGAAATAAAAATATTTTTTAATTAAAGCAAAAATTAAAGTATAAATGTTAATACAATGCTAAATTTAAATAATAAATAAATAATTATAATTATACAGAAGAAAAAAATTGAAAAACTTAAAATTAATATAAACAAAAGAAAATATTATACATAAATTTAAAACAATTCATAGTTAAATGAAATAAAAGAAAAATTTTAATTTAATAAAAATAAAATAAACAAAAAAAGTATGTAAATCATTACAGAAAAAAAAAACATCAACAAAAACGAAACAGTATTTTTTTTTCTTTCTTTCTGAATTGGCTGAATTTTAAATTTTGTTAGTTTTATGATACAAACACGAAGACAAATTTATTCTTTTTAATTTAATATCCTGGTAATTAGAAAGCGAAATGTTAACATACACTTAGTTTTTATCTTAGATACGAGGAGGTGCCAACATGAGAACAATATGTATGTTTTCAACTAAATACAATAAACCGATATTGAAAGAAAACTGGATCGAGAAAATTCATATAAAAAACTCATTGAAAAGTATTTACAAAAACGTTCACTAAATTTACATAACAGTTTACTGTGCAAGAACAATCAAGTAAAGTCGAAGTGACATCGTTTTGACAGGACCACTACACTCGTCAGATGTGGTATTGTATAGTGTTAGATCTGAAAATTTCCAGATATCTCAGCCAGGTTAGATATAAAGTAACTGCCAAGGAAACTGTTTCTCTTACCTTCTCTTCCTTTACCCTGTCTTTGTAACTGCGACAGTATTCACTGATGGGGAGCCCAAGACGACCATTACTGCCATCAATATCAATATATTCCGGTTATAAGGTGTCTAGTGCATTTCTCAATGAAAAAAGGCCACAATAACTTGGTTCCTTTACGAGTGCCTAGGGGTGCCTAAGTTTTCAAATTAATTTTCAGCATTTCGAAAAAACAATCTGAGGATATTGCTAAAAACCTGACGGAGTAGCTACTGTAACGTCGTCAAAGATATCCTGAGCAAATCCCGTTCTAGCTAGTTCATGGACCCAACCTAGGGTAATGTCAGCCTTGACAGATCTTTTTTACTTTGCCTGACTAATAGGGAAGTGGTAGTATAAGAGTTTAATGAAAAAAGTGTCCTATATACTAATATTACATTCTGAATAACACTACAGTTGTTGGGAAGACGGTCAGAGATATTTATCACAGTTTCTTCACAGAAGACACCAGAAACAACAACGCAGTTCTGTAAAGAATTTGTTGGAATATTCGCTCGGTAGATTACCTCTACACCACTTGTTTTTGAAAGGAAATCAGATTTTGAAAACTCTATCGAAGTCCGTACAGTACCTTGATCTCCAAGGTACTGTTTACTGTAGACCCCGGAAATCTTCGGGATCCAAATCTTGTATATTTCTATCACACATGCTTTCGAGAAGTTTCCTATTTGAAATCAGCAAAATCAGTTTATAGCAGACTTCCTTGCTATGTTATCGAGAGCATGGACCTATCTCGTTCCATGTCTAATTGGTATACAATACAAACAAATTATTTAACCTTATAAAAGGTAGAAATAACATTAATTTTTATATTTTTAAAGACTAATCTTAATATTGATATGTAAATTTTAAAATCTTTTAATATTTCAGGTACAGTACCTCGATCTACATATATAGAAACTTTTCTAATATATATTTAAAATTTAGATTTTATTTAATTTAAAACGTATACAAAATCCTGATAATAAACATTATACACAAAGTATACATAATGACATTTGCGTCCTTTTATTGGTAAAGTAAAAAATAAAAATTTTGAAAATTTCCGAAACAAATTTATTTCGATTTTTAAAAGCTATAATTTAAAAGTCTTAAATGAATTAAGAAATTTATTTAAAATGATTTTTGTTAGAGTTACTGAAACAGGTCCTAAGCTTTCATTAACTGTTATTTTCAACGATTTTCCATTTATATAAATAGTGTTTATTGTCATAAAAGTATTTCACTCAAACTTTTTGTTATAGATATTAATAGATGACATTTGTTTATGTGAAATTATAATGAAGTTTTGAAAAACTTTATTACTTATTTTGGAATATATTTGTTACTTTCGCATTTTAGAGATCTTGGACTATATGTATTTAGAATTAACTAACTGTTGGGAACTTCTGAATTTTGTTTATTAAACATGTAGACAAAGTTGTAAAAAATATACAAATGTTACAGTTAAATACAACTTTTTAAATAAAACACAATGATATAATAGACATTTTTAGGTAATAATAAAAACCTGCAATACAATATAGAACAGAAAATAAACATTAAAAAGATTTGGATATAAAAACAATTTTGAAAATAAATTACTATTTTTGTAACGCTTGAACTAAAAAGAAAAAATATAAAAAACTAGTAAAAAAAATTAAATAGAAAAATGCATTTAATAAGAAAATCAATATAACATTATAAAAAACACATATTCAAAGCTAAAATATTATAAACAAATAGAAATTTTAAAAAGAAATTTGTATAAAACAAAAGAAAAAGCTAGCAAAAGAGTTCTTTCACTATAATGAAATAGGATTTAAAATTTGAAAACATTTTACACAAATATTAAAAAACTAAATATAAAATTTCTAAAATTTTGTAACAAACTTTCTAAAAGAAAGGATTTAAAATTTACAGTTTTTATAATAAAATTTAAAAAAAAAATGTATTTCTAACGTGATGTTAAATAAAAAAAAATTCTTCACTTTAAATAGAACTTGAAGCTTTTATTGAAAAAAAGTTTTTATATATATAAAAATTGTTATTGAAAACAAAACTCCCTTTCCAACTAAATACGATTTTAAGAAAAAATTAACAAATCTTTCTTTTCTTAATAAATTCTTTATCAACCTGTCCATTTAATCCAGCCCAACGTTAAACAATTTTTTAAAATAGTAAACAGTATTTATAAAAGATGAAAAAAATATATAAATGAAATGAAAATTGAACAAAGTTTAATAATTGTAAATTACAAATGCTATAAACATTACTTTTCCTATAAAAAAAACCAAAAAAACTCACACAGAACAAAAACAACATTATTCCAAAGAAAACAAAATAAAAACAAAAACAAAAACGTAATTATCAAAGAAAAAAATAAATAATATGCGAAAAAATAAGAAATTGTAGTTTCATTTATTGTTAGTTTTATAGATTTAATAACTATTTTCTGGAAATTATGGGTATTAAGACAAACACTTGTTTGGGAATTTTTTTATTGTGAATGATTGACAACCCTGTGTGTTTATTTCTGATTGCCGCCATTTTGTATAGCGAAAGTTTTCTATTTGTTAAAGCAGGTGGTACAAGTCGGAGTTTAATTTTGTGAAAAAAAGTAATTAATTAAGTTTAAAACTGTGTTTTAAGTGCAAAATTTTTTGATTATGGTTTCTTTAAGTTGAATAGTTATAAAGTGGAACTTTTACAATGTAAACAAAACGCATCCTGAAAAAAGTGAGTAACTTCTTATTTTTTCAAAATTACAATAAAAGAAACAAAGAATTAAGTACATCAAATTGAGAATTCCATTTCCAATTACTTCTAAAATAGCGAGTAAATGTCCCTGATAAAGCTGCACAGATTTCCAAGGTTTCCAAGTTCCTTGTACAATCTAACTGCTAGTCCAGTCTCTAACAAACTGACAACATTGTTACATTTGCCGGTATAACTCTTTAGCAAGCGGAACAGATTTCCTAGGACAAAGCATGCTTTTTCCTCTAGGCCCTTGTGAAATCTAACTCCTAGGTTATTTGAGTATGGCATTTTATATTCGAGGACAGTTTTTATTGGGTTCTTCGACATTCTTGTCACTTTGGCCGGTATAACTTCTTAGCAAGTGGCTGCTAAAAACATCTGAGACTTCTCTTGCATAAATCCTTTACCTTGTAATGTAAACTGCAAAGATAATAAGTGAGTTCGATGCTTAATTTCTACTCAATTAGCCCCTGGTAAAGCAGAATACTTTTTCTGTCAAATGTCAAAGTTAGCTTCTTCTTTTTGTGGAAACTAACTCCTAGCTCACTTGAGTAAAAAATTCAGTATTCTAGGACAGTTTTAATAGTGTTCTATGGTCTGTAACTTTTTTACTTCCTTGTCATTTTTGCCGGTATAGGTAACTTCTTAGTAAGCAGCGACTATCAGCCTTAAAAGATACAAAGGCTTCTCCTGTCCAAACCCTTAGTATTTATTTTTAATCACTTTTTGGTCATATTACTTTGCTGACCGTCGTAAAGTTTTAGGAACGGAACATTATTCGCCAAACAAAGCTTCTAAGACTCCTCCTGTCTTATTCCTATGAGCATATTATAGCTTTAGAGTCCAGTTTTCATCAGATACTTTTAGCAGACCACCCTACAGTTTCAGAAACAAAAAAATGCACACATATATTTCCTATTCTATTTTAGTTGAGACAAGTCCTACAGATTGTCTTGCTAATTCGTATGTGACCCTGTTATCCTGTACATTACAAAATCCACAGTAATTCAGTCTTGCCTGCAAGACAGGAGAAGTCGTTGCATACAATCGAAATCATATCTTTTCTTAATTCCGCCCTTTTAACACCTTAAATTAAACAACAAAATCTTATTTGAATTGTTGTTTATTAAATTTTTTGTTATTTTTGGAATTTCTGTTATGTATTAAAAATTAGCTTATAAATAAACAATATAAAGTTCGAATTCAAAGTAACAAAAAATACGTTAAATATGGCTGCAACACCACAGCGCACAATTCACTACTAATGATGAAGATAAAAATGACATTATAGAAATAATGCCAAAAACGAATAAATCAGAATCTGAAGTTAATAATGTAGGTATAATGTCTAAAACTTTCTCAACCAATTTTCCTTTTAACTGTTTTTAACCATATAAACAAATTTGTAATTTGTGGCTTAAAGTGTTTTGAAAATATAATTTTAAAGCTAAATAAAAGAAAACTGTTTTGGGGTGAAATGTCCTCTAAAAGCTATATTTAGGTATTGTTTTTAGCGACCCAAAAAATTTCTTGACCAATTTTTAACAATTGGTTTAGATTTAGTTTGTTCTTCGCGTTCACGTTCTTGCATTTGTTCCAAAAGTTTAGCTTGATTTTCGCGGAATTTCATAATGGGATCTTCGAATTGACGATAATAGTGTAATACCTCACGAACATCATCAACATCGGTGGTGGCAATAGCTATTTATAAAGAAACAATTTAAAGAATTTAATATTTCTCTTAGAAATGCTGTAACTTTTAACATACCTTTCAAGAAATTGATTAAATCAAAGAGTTGAGAGTCATCATCGTTACCCTTCCAACGAGCAATGTTAAATGTATTATCTGGATGCATTTGTGTAGCATTGGGATCCCAATCAATAACAATAACCTAGAAATAACAATGAAATTACTAATAATCTATTAGTATTTTAACAAAAAAAGTTTTTAATTTACCTTTTTCAAATCTCTATTCAAATTATCCAAATTCTTAACATGATGACCATCAATGAAATGTGTGGCATCACGTACCAAACGATACATAATATAACCATTAGGATCTAAAGCATCTAAAATGGGGAAAACAGTCATGCCTTGTTCGGCCGTAAAAACAACAATTTCAAAATGTTTAGCACATTCCTGCAAGAAAACATCTACACCGGGACGTTTCTTGAAACGCCAACCAGTTTGATATGTCCAATCGGGATGTACTAAAACATCTTTCATTTCCAAAACCAAAGTATAGGGTGGTTGTATATAGGGTGGTTTCAAGGGATCCGGCAACAGCTTTGCTCTTGAAGGTTCTTGTATCATTTTCTGATAGTAATTCATCGATTTCCACATGCGTTGCAAATATTGCTGAACAATGGGACTCTTACTGAATTCATCCTCGATAATATGACCATCAACATCGACCTCTGGTTTACCGAATTCATAAACGGCCCAAATGGCTAAGGCCACACCAGAACCGCCAAAAACAGCAAAACTGTAATGGAAACAGACAATGCAATTAGATTACATGTATTACGCAATTTACTCCACTTTCTTTTGCATTACAATCGCAATAACAACAACAACAATGAATGGCTCACCCTAATTTCATACGTTTCCAGGCCTTTTCATTTTCCTTGGCATCTTCCTCCTCCTTGCGTTTTCGTTCACGTTCTGTTTCCTCATCAACATTGGTCGCTGTTTGGGGAAATAGTTTAGACAAAATTTCTGGACTAGCAGGTTTCTCTGGAAAAGTATTGCCTCAATTAAAGAAAAATATAAACCAAATTGTTTTAACTCCAAATTCATACTTGTCGCATCTGTGCTGTAAAGATATTTATTGTTTCCAGCATTCCACAGCAGTGCTTTAGCCGCATGGTTGTGACTTATTGATGTAGTGGTTGCCAGTGGCACTACATAGCTTAGGGCACGTTGTTGATATTTTCCAATTGCATAGCACTGTTTACCCACATCACGTAGGACACTGTGTACCAGCTTTGTGAGACCACTCTGAGCCATGTCACTTTATTTTTCGCTGTCTAAACGAATTTTTCCTGTGAAAATTTTTCAATTTTCTTAGACCAAATTAAAAACCGGTGTAGTTTTTTTTTTTTGTTGGATAATTTCTGGTTAGAATTTTGTCCATATGTTTTGACAGATGTTGTTTGACTAGTGTCAAAAGTTTACTTTAGATGGCGCTTGCTATTACAATACCGTAGAGTTTTCGAATTTTGTTATAAGTACAGTAATAGGGTTTCTAAAAATCGAACTACTTTGTTGGGGATTATTAATTTTATTGTGAAATCTTCAATGTATTGAAACTACAAATCAAAATTTCGAAAATATGATTATAAACACATATGAATCTAATAATTGTTTATAACTCTAATATATTCTACTATCGAAAATCAATCGTATATAATATAACTCATGAATTGATAATAATATCGGAATAAAATTCGAATATATTTTTATATAAACCAATCATACTGCGAAACTTTTTCAGGATCAGTCCATTATATGTTTATGTAGGTAACATGTAAATTTCTATAAATATTCGATATGTTAATAAAAAACCAACCTACAGATGAATGGATTTAACTCAAACTTGTTGTTAACGAAGATTGTTTTAAACAATTCATTAATCAAATTATAATATATTTAAGATAATTCCTGAATACATAAAAAACCCCGGGAATTTTTAATATCTGAAATTCCAGGATTTGTAAAAATCAATTCCGAATTGTATTCTTAATACATCCTCACTATTTTTTTATCAAAATTTATTATTATGGCTTTAATTTTTTAAATTCTATATTTGCTACTACAAAAGTTCGATTTTATTAAAGATAATTGATTTTTTAATAAAATCGAATCACCCGAAATTATTTAAACAAAAATTTCTCAACTGATCAAGTTTTCACAACAATTAGCTTTATTAGTCTTGTTCATACCAGCATTCACATTGGTTTGTATAACAACTCTGTTATTGAAATGCAACACTGTGCCGAAAAAAATATAATATTCTCAATTATAATTTTTGTTTGCAAAAATTGTGAATTATCACTACAAAACAATTGTTTAAATTTAATAAATTTTTTAAAAATATGACGCCAAAACCCGTTGAGGTAGTTATATGCCGAACCTGTGTTGGAGAATGTAAAGAATATAAATCATTATTTAAACAAGGCCTAATAATGGGAGAGGTGTCGACGTTGGCGTCTTTGCTGGCATTTTGTACAAATCTGGAATTCGTGGATGATGAAAACAGTGAATTGCCCCCATTTATATGTACAAATTGTATACAGGATTTGGTAAAATCGTACGTGTTTAAGAAAAAAGTATTGCAGGCTAATGAAATACTGAGCGGCAGTGTAGATGAAGTTGAAGGATTTGTTGAGGAAGGCAGGAAGGGGGAATCCAAGGAAAATGTTATTGTGATAAATGAAGCGGAAGCGGATTTGCAAGAGTTAGCGGAAGCAGCTCAAATGAAAAGGGAACAATTAGAGCAACAAATTTTCAATGTTGAAAATGAAGAAAATGATAATGGTGAGGAATATCTACAATTAACGGTGCTCGATAATGAGGGAGAAGAGGACACTCAACAACACAATGATCATGAGGGCGATGATGATCTAGAGCAAGAAGAAATTGAAATGGAATATATGGAGCAAGATGTAGCTGAAACAACAGAAATCTATCATACAACTATTATCAGCGATGAAATGCAACATATGCAGAGCAGTGAAGAAATGGAACAAGAGCCACAAATACAACACCAAGAAGATGTTGAAGATGACGAAGGAAAAGTTGAATACGAAATACAAGTAAATGATATTGAAGAAGATTATGCCGAACTGTTAACGGAAAGTCAAGATGGTATGTCACAACATAGTTATAAACGTCCCATGGAAGACAACACCAACTCGGGTTCAGAAAATAGTTTTGGAAATCCTGCCAGAAGACGAAGAACAAATTCTTCGGGTAAACCACCTAATCCTGATTATCAGTGCAAGGTAATGAAACAATTTTAGATATTTAAAAAAACTAAATTATTTTTATACAACTTGTAGGTTTGTGGCAAACAATTGAGCAACTCAAATTCTTTTAAATATCACATGAAATTACATTCAGATGAAACTCCCTACAAATGTGAAGTATGTGGTGAAGCTTTTAAAACTCGCAATGCCTATGATGGTCATATATCCATACATAATCCCAACAATCCCAATACATGTAAACTATGCGGTAAATCCTATCGTCAAGCCTCCTCTTTACGCATGCACATGTTAACACATTCTGGTGTTAAACCCTTCACTTGTGAAATTTGTGGCAAGAGTTTAACCCAAAAGTCGGGCTATAAAAAGCATATGCTCACACACACCGGCGAAAAACCTTATTCCTGCGATATATGTGGAAAATCCTTTTGTATCTCGAGTAATATGTTGGTTCATCGTCGTACTCACACAGATCAAAAGCAGCATCAATGTACGGAATGTGATAAATCATTTCTTACCGCCGATCAATTGAAACGTCATGTCATTATACACTCGAATGAAAGACCTTTTAGTTGTGATATCTGTGGAAAACTATTTAAACGTCAAACTGCTTGGCGTTCACATTGTCAATCCCATCAGGATCCTAAGCCTAAGAAACCAATTGAATTATTATATTCAGATGAATATGATGAAAATAATCGAGATAAAACTACAGTTGTGGAGATATTTTAAACTTAATACAACAGCAGCAGCATACTTGTCATTAGTTGTAATAGATACTATTTTTTAACGCTATTTTGTTTTATGAAAATATACTTATACATATGTGTATGTTAAATGTTAACTATAGCCAAATTATGTTGTTTTATTCATAGTCACAATCTGAAAAATTTTAAACCCTATAGTTAATTATGGACTGATTCGAAAAAAGTGATTTTCGTATAAGTGATTTTCGGAAATGGTTTTTATATGAAAGCCATGACCAATTATGGCTCGATCCGGTAAATATTTCTCAGAATAACTTGTGTGTGTACACAACATATTCTTGTTAAATTTTGTGCGATCCAGGTTTTAGTTGGCTTTTGGATTTATCTACATACATACATAGAATTAGTCCAGGTGGAATACTAAGTACATTTTTCTACTAATTTTGATCTTTTCACAAAAAATAGATACTCAAAACGACTTTCATTCGTCTAATCTAATCATTTTAAAATAATTAAAAACTACAACATTTATTATTAAACAATTCAATTTATGACATTTACAAGCGTAACTATTTAGCAATAAATTAATACAAAAAAACAATACTTGTTACGTTTTAGAAAATAATATTATGCCTTTTTTAAAAATATTACGGCCATAAAAGTTAGAGAAAGCAAGAAAGAAAAACAAAAAGTAAAAAAGTGGCAGTTTTAGGGGAAGTTTTTAAATTTAACACACTGAACAAGAACCAGATGACGATACACCGTGATACTTGGCAACAGGATAAGTACGAGATTGACGGCAAGAAACTAAAGCATCGCCAGAAGTACCGGGTGGACACTTGCAGACTGCCAAATGGGCTTTAGGTTCACATTCGGCACCAGAACCGCATTTACCAATGCAGGGATTAACACATTGATAATTGATGCAAGCCTTATTATCGGGACATTCGCTATTGCTAAGACATTCACCCTTAGGAAGAGAAGATAAATATAGAAATAGATATACAGTTTATTTCCTAGTAAAGCATTAACTTACTCTTGAGCAGTGAGTTAAAGGATTGCCGGTATGACCGGGCAAACAGTTACAAACAGGACGCTCACGTCCAGTATTATCATGACCAGGTATGCAAATGGCATTTGTACCGCAAGGATTGGGTTCACACAAATCAGCTAAATTGGGATAAAATTAGTGTTAAAAAAAATGCATTAAATTTGCACTTGTAAAACACTCACCCTTGGTAAATGGACGACAACGAACGAAAGGATCACCCGTCATATCACGTGGACAACTGCATACTGGAGTCAAACCTCTTAAATTACAATCAGCTCCTACACCACAAGCACCATCACAAGTATTCTTACAAATACCATAGAAACAAGCTGGTCTACCAGCTGGACAATCCGAATCACCATAACACTCTGGACGACATTCACTGTAGGCACTACCAATATAACCCTTAGGACATTCACAAACAGCACGATGATTATTTACGGTACTGCAAGTGGCACCTGTACCACATTGTTGACAGGCGGGTACACATTTGAAATTACTACACATATCGCGTGAACTACAATCACCATCATGTTCACATTCATGACGACAGCCACTCAATGGATTGCCTACGTAACCGTTTAAGCACGAGCAAGTGGGTACACCACCAATAATTTCGCATTTAGTATTAAGACCACAGGGACTGGGATGACATTGTTCCTCTGGAATGTAAGAATAATTGGTTATAATATGATTTTTATAGGTAAAGAAATCTGTGGAAAAATCTTGTATCCGGAAAACTAATTGTAAATTTTTGATATAATAAGTAGTTCCTTAAGGAGTACTAAGAGTAACACTTGTAGCTACCTTGAAACTAGTGTTGTCGCCATTATTTCTAAAGCGTGATCTCTGGAACATTGTTATGATTATAAATTACTTCTTAAGACTTTTCTATAGACCATTCCTGCCTTATTAAAAAAAACTTCTTAAGTGACATAACCATTCTTATCGTAAATGCAATTTTTAATTTAAAAGATATTTATTCAACTATTGTATAATTTAAATAAAATTTCTAAAAAGTGAACTAAACAAGTTTCTCTGATTGATTTTCAAAAATCATTTAACCAGTTTGGCGCCAAAACAAAAATAATTTAATTGACACAGTGCCGCCATTAAACGCCAACATGCTTATGTTTATTGTTATTATTATTTCCTATTATTTATGTACATATGTACTTTATTTTAATTTTTGTCTTAAGCCCAGATTAAACCATATAATTTTATGGTTTTAAAACGTAAAAAATGAACTTCTGTTGTTGTCTTGTAATGAGAATGCTATACATTTAAAACCCAACAAAAAGGTGGACTTATCAAAAATTCTACTTGCGTTCCATAAATGAAGGCAAACTAGTTGGAAAAAAATACAAATTTAATAAAAATTATAAACAATACATTGGCGAATTGTATGTTTATTTAAACAAAGTAGTATTTATTGTTAAAAGTAACCAGTGAATGCATTTCCTTAAAAGTCCATTGCTTAAAATATGCAATCATCACATTACATGAATTAAACACAAATTATTTTAAATGTAGGTTGAAATTATGGGAGGACAGCACATTGTTTTGTATTGTTTATAAAACAAATTTTATTATTTCGTTCAAGATCAAGGTTATTCTAATATTTATTAAGACAAAAACATGAAATATAAAAATAAATTATTATAAATTTTAGCTTAGTGATGGACAAATTTATTGATGTTCTTTAAATGGTAGTAGAGATACACGAGTATTAACATTTAGTACACGAGTACAAGTATTTGTATTTATTGTAGTAGATTTTCAGTTAGGGCGTATGATTTGTTATTAATTACCGTGTAATACATGTTTTTTTAGAACGTTGTTTGTTTATGTAATTAAAATGTATTACGTTGTTTCTTTGTCATTTAAATATCTTTTCATTTAATGTATTCTCTTAATTTACATACAAAGCAAATGCTGCTAATCAATCTATATTTCGGAATTCCTGTACTTCCTATTTTGTTTATCTTTTAAGGTAGGGTTTCAGGCACATTCAGGAGGAAATCTAAACATACATAAAAGCTCCACAACTAGTTTGATTTTATTTAATAGAAAATGACACCCTTAGGAACTAGTTAAAGAGAATTTTCAAAGAAGAAATACAACTTGTTAGAAAAAGTTCTAAATGTGAAGATTGGAAAGTTCTAAATATGAAGATTCGAAAGATTTTTGAGATTTTTTTATTCTAGAACACATCTATATAGTTTGATCTTAAAACTAATGATTCTTGTTCGAAGTTAGCACCTCCAGATCTGTTCTATAGGCATGTTATAAATTCGATATTAGTTGTATAAAACTGTTCTACAAACGTTTCTTTTAATTGTTGATTTTTGTTCAAAATTGTCAGCCTAGAAACTTGTTCTATCCAAGCTTTAGATATCAAATACTCTTCCTGCATATAGGCCAACAATTGGCATTAAACTTATAAACCTGATATTGATCTTTTATGATTGAAGATAATCTAAAACAGAGCTACAATTAAAACTGATGGTAGTGTATATATATAGATCTAAGATCATCGAGGATATGATACTGATATAGAGCTGTACTTGACACTTATCTGAGAATATATACAGATCAACAACAATTTAATCTGATCTTGGATTGTAAGACAGGGCAACCATGTACAGCGGTTTACCTTTGATTAAGGCTGGTATCGGAGTGTATGCCTTGGAATATCCTTAACTATATATAGACCTAAAATTAATGTTGGTTCTTCACTATATGTATACACCCCTAGGATTTATGCTGATTTTTTACTATATGTATACACCCCCATGATTTATGCTGATCTTAGATTATATACAGACGAACGATTGAAGCTAAACTTCGAGAAAATGATAGGCATACGATTGACTCTGAACTTTGACTATATACTAGTTAACTTGACCAATAATTAAATCTGATCTTCGACAGGCGTACGATAGGCCCTGAACTTTGACTATATACAAGCTAACTTAAAACTTAACTCCCGAACAATTTGTTGTGCAATTCCATATACATTTTTTAAACTGATTGTTTTGGGAAACTCATATGTTTTTTATCGGACCTGTGTAAAATCAATGTATCTTTAGAAGTACTTTAGAACAGCAACAATGATATACAGAACGTAAGTAATGCCGACATCACTGTTTCTAAAATTTCTGTTCAAGAGTCTAAAGTGGTGCATTTTGCACCTGTTCTAAAACTTCTTAGAACAATTTTCTCTTGGTGTATGAATTTATTAAATCCTTCAAAAAATTACTTCCAAAGATCCATAGGATAGATTTTTTTCTTGTTTTATATAACTAAACTTACCAGGATCAGCAAGACGGCAAGAAGTAAATGGATCACCATTGAAACCATGTGGACAACTGCACACAGCTACATGATTTCTGGGCTGTAAGAAAATAAAAACAAACACTTTTCAAAAGAACATAAAACTATAACTTTCTCACAAACCTCGCAATTGGCATTATTGCCACAAGCACCAACACAGGGATTAACACAGCGACCATTTTGACATTGCAAATCGCTACGACAATCAACATTGTCTAAACATTCACCACGATTACAGCTGGTCAAAGGATTTCCACTATAACCGGGTGGGCAGGAACAGACTGGACGGCCGCCAGCCGTTTCCTGACAAACAGCATTAACACCGCAGGGATTACCATGGCAGCCATGAGTTGAAACATCGGCTAAAGTTTTTTTGTCGGTATTTTTAAAAGAAAATTAGAAAAAGGTGCAAAGGAGGAAAAGGAACACCAAAAAGGCAATGAGTATTAGGTTAACAAAACTACTATATGTAGCTAGGAACATTTGAATTATTAAATATACATATTTAAGAAACTAAAATTCAAGATGATAGAACAGTTATTAGTTTTGTGAAGAGACAGTGACAGATACAGGTAGCTGAAAGTGAAAAACGTGATTGAAAGTGCCAAAAACAACATAAAGAAACAAGTGCCAGAAATAGTGCGCTCAAGAATTTAGAAAAAGTTTCCAAAAAAGTTGTAATTAAATTTTGAATACCACGTGATTGTATCTGATCCCGATAAATCAGTCTCTGCACAGTTGTACCATCAGCATAAGTATAA